GGCGGAGCAGGGAGGGGGCCATCCATAAACCACCGAGCGGCAGCGGGAGGGCAGGGCTGGGATGGGATGGGATGGGAGAGGAGCTGGGGGAGCCTCCGGGTGTCCTCAGGGCATCAGCGATGCTCCGGGAGAGGGTGCCACGCTTTTGGGGGCACGGGGACATGGCAAGAGGCGAGTGGACGGTGCGGGGCTGTGACCCCGGCGAGGGGTGATGGGCAGCTCTGCCCGCTTCCCAACCCGCTCATCCCGTCCTGCCCGCTCCGTCCCCGTCCCCGTGGGCTCTGCGTGGCCGGGAGCGGGTGGTGGCCCTTACCTGGTGGCCCCCTGCAATCCCTGCAGAAGGGGAGCAGGCATCTGGCAAGCCCAGAAGACTCTGGGGGGAGGGAGCGGCGGGCCCTAGGGGGGTATAAAATAGTCATCTGTAGCGGATGGGTGTGGAAACGCCTCTGGCACACCCGCTCCGGCTGCTCCGGGGGACAGGCTCTCACCAGGGGACTCATCCTCGTGTGGAGAGTGGAGGGAGGGCAGGGAAGAGGAAGAACAGGGATGTTGCAAGGATCAAGCAGACTCCGGGCGCCTCTGGGAGCTGCGGGTGGTGACAAGGGGGACAAGGAGGAGGGCTCAAGCCGTAGGTCCTGTTTATGGATGGCCTCTACCAGGGGTAGATCCTGCTGCCAGCTGGCTCTAGGCAGGCGGCGGAGCGAGGCATGCGACACAGCGGGGACGGCACATGCGGGCATGCCACGGACACGGCGCTCCCCGGGCAGCGGGGGGCTCCGGAGCCTACCTGGGATGTGGAAATGCTTGGGCGCTTGGTATGAGGTTGGAGTGGAGGACCTCACATCTAACTGGCTATAGTAGGGGGAGCTGCGCCCGCTCTCGGTGCCTACGCGGGGCCGAGCAGAAGCAGCCGTGAGTGACCGAGAGAGAGAACAAGAGGCAGAAGAAAATGGGTGTTAAATGCAGCGGTGTTAGAACGGCAGGGGCTGTGTGAGGGGCGGGGGGTGACGGGGGCGTGCGCCGGGCTGCGCTCCGGGAGAGGCAGTGATGGAGCGGGGGGAGATTTCCAGCATCTCCGGAGCGGCCGGGATGCGGAGGAACCCCCGGGCAGCCCTGCCGAGACAGCCCAGCGTGCTCAGAGCAGGCGGTGATGAGCCCTTGGCGGCGCAGCGGGGCTCGCAGTGAGCTCAGAGCGTTCCAGTCCTTCCTCCACAGCTCCAGAGCACAGGAGACAGCCCAGGCGCTGCTCCCCTGCCATGGCACTGGCACTGCTCCCCTGCCATGGCACTGGCACTGCTCCCCTGCCATGGCACTGGCACTGCTCCCCTGCCATGGCACTGGCACTGCTCCCCTGCCATGGCACTGGCGCTGCTCCCCTGCCATGGCACTGGCACTGCTCCCCTGCCATGGCCCTGGCACAGCTCCCCAGCCATGGCACTGGCACTGCACTGGCACTGCTCCCCTGCCATGGCACTGCTCCCCTGCCATGGCACTGGCACTGCTCCCCAGCCATGGCACTGCTCCCCAGCCACTGGCACTGCTCCCCAGCCATGGCACTGCTCCCCTGCCATGCTCAGGGTGTGCTGCATGCCCGTGTGCCAGGAGCTCCCTGTGCACCCCTGCCACAGTCACCAGCACAGCTCAGGGGTGTTCACCAGAGCTGGAGGTCACCTGCCTCCCACCCCATCCTTCGGGAGCCTCAGCTCGTGCCTGAGTCCCCCTCGGCCTCTGCTTGCGGCTCGCAAGAGTTTGGAGAGGCAGAGGATGCACTGCGCCCACCGTGGGCCACCCCAGGCCTCCTGCTGCTTGCCAGGTGAGGAACCACAGAAATCCCAGAGATATTTTTGTGATCTTCTCTCCACTTGAGCTCAGCTCAGGCTGGGGTTGCAGCTGAAATCCTCACCTGAGCGGTAGAAATGGTGTGGGGACCTGGGGATGGTGGGGGACATGCCCTGGCGGCTGTAGGTGGGGGAGTCGATGTAGCCAGGGCTGGAGGCTCTTCTCTGCCGCGTGTCAAAGCTCTCGTAGATGTCCTGGGGGTGGGGAAGGCGTGGAGAGAGCGGGGTTAGAGCTGGCAGGAGGTGTCCCTCGGGTGGGGGTCCCCTGCCTGGGCAGCCCGGGAGGTGCTCTGCGTGTGACACTGGCCAAGGGCTGTGTCCCCTGGGGATGGAGGGGTCCCCGGCCCGCCCTGCCTCCCCCCTGCCAAGGCACAGGTTTGGGACCAGGGGACAGTGTCCAGGCAGAGGTTTTGTGCCTGGAGGTCGTTCCCAGTCACTGGTGTCTCCCTCCACGGGGCAGAAGCTGCACCCTGGGGCCGTTCTGCTCTCTCTGGGCGTTGAAGGACACACATCCCATCTCCCCACACCCTGGGGCAGCCCGGGGGGACCATCAGCAGAGCCCCTGGCAGAGGGACAGCCTGTGGCAGCAGCAGGTGACAGACCCCCAGTGCCCACAGGGACATTACCTGTGAGTATGGGGAGAGGGTCCCCAGGGACTGGAGGCAGCAGGAGGCAAAGTGAGGAGGAAAAAAGAGACAGAGAGAGAGAGACAGCACAGGGTTAAAGAGGAGCACTGACAGACTGGGGTCCCACAGCAGCTCGTTCTCAGCAGTGAGGGGCACTGGTGGCACAGCCAGAGCTGAACTGGGGCAGGACACTGGGCAGGGAGCCCCTGGCCAGGAGAGGAACTGGCAGGAGGGATCAGCAGAGCTGTCACCTCTCAGAGAGCTCTGTGGAGAGGGGAGGCACAGAGGTCACGCTGCCTGCACCATCCTGGGCGGGCTGTGGGACACCAGGCTTGTGCCAAACCCTGGGGATGGGGATGTAAGAGATGCTGCTGCCAAATCCTCTCCCAGCACCGCTTCAGGTGCCCCAGCTGTGTCAGCTGCTCTCCTTCCATGGGCTCCCTGAGCTCAGCCAGCAGCCCCAGCTGGCCAGGCAGGACAGTCCAGTGCCTCAGCATCCCCCCATCACAGCCTGCAGAAACGCCCTGCCCCAGCCCAGAGGTGCTCCAGAGGTGCTCCAGAGGTGCTCCAGAGGTGCTGTGCTGGCTGGGCTGCAGGACTGTCTGCCAGGGCTGTGAGGGGTGAATTCCCTGCCCATCACTCCTCTCACACAGCTCTGTCTGTCCCTGCACGTGTCCTGGGCTCACTGGTACCTCTCTGACTCTACAGCAGCAGCACTTTACCTCCATCACAGCCCTTCCCACACCTCTGGGAGAGGTCCTGCCCCACTCCTGCCTCCCTGCACTATTCCCACTGGCATGAACAAAGCCCCAGACAGTTCTCCCCCAAACTGGGGCCCACTGCTGCACATCCCAGCAGGGGATTTCTGGATTTCAATACCTCCCCATAGCTATATCTCTCCAGCGTCTCATCCGACGTGTATCTGTGATAGGGCTCGTAGGAAATGAGGTCAGGACGCTGCACTTCATAGATGGCTTTAATCTTGGGAAGAGCTGCCAGGTCTTTGTAATTAAGGATCTCATTATCCACTTTGGCCTAGGGAGAGGGAGAGACAGAGACAGAGAGACGGAAAGGAAGAGGAGGAGAGAAGGGAAGGCTGGAGCGCACAGTGTGGAGCCAGCACGGGGCAGACAGAGCTCACTGTCACCCCAGCAGCAGGGACAGGTAAGAGGAGAGGCCTGAGAGGCAGCAGAGGGAGGGCAGAGGAGCTGGGAGGGCAGGACTGTGCCCCTCGGAGCGCTCCTGAGCTGTGCCATGGCACTGGTGGCACGGTGCTGCTGGGACACGGGCACTGGTCCATTCCAGCCCCAAATTCTGGGCTTGTCCCACTGAAGAGCAGCACTGGAAGCTGCTGTCACCGTCCCTGGGGCCCTGGGCGAGGGGCAGGGCTGGACTTACGCAGATGACACGGTTTGGGGAGCCGATGCTGGAGCCAGGGGGGGAGATGGAGGTTTCTGACGTTCTTCTGTGCTGTGGAGGCACAAAGGGGGAGGGCAGGTGAGAGCACGGCAAGGAGGGACCCCTGAGCAGGCAAACTCTTGGTTTGGGGGCTGAATTTCACTTCCACAGCCTCAGCCACGGCCACCTATCATCCTCTGGGCAGCCTCAGGAAACCACTCCAGGTGTGGGCAGTGCCAAAGCAGTTCAGGGACTGGAGGACAATGGAACGTGGGAGGTGCCACCTCTCAGGACACCCCTCACCCTGCTGCCTACCTTCAGCTTCTTCTCTGCTCTGGCTGCCTGCTTGCAGATGGGGTGCCACACTTCAGAGCCTGCAAGGCAGCAAAGGGACAGCGTTTCAGCCCCACACACGGGCTGAAACCCCCCTGCCATGTCCCTGCCACCTCCAGCAGTGCCAGGGGAACTGCAGGGCACTGGGGACTGGGTGACCCTGAGAAGGGATGGAACAGCTCCACAGCACCGAGGGCAGGGGCCAAACCTCAGCTGGGACAGCAAACTCGGGATTTGGGCTGGCCCAACCAGCTCCTGCTGGTTAAACTGGGGTGACACTTGGGGCACCACAACAGCTCCATCCTTTGGGCTGCAGTGAGCAGAGCTTGGCCCAGGTGTGCAGGGAGACAAGGAGTTCCCAGCTGCATGGCAGGGAAGGTTCCATGGAGACTTTTGCACACAGGGCTCGGAGAGCAGCGCAGAGCGGGACCTCTGGCACTGCTGCACACACAGAGCCACAAGGACCCAACCCCAAACTCCCCCCAGCTGGTCCCAGCCCTACCTGTCAGGTACATCTCCTCTCCCTCTGTGAACATCTGGTGGCAGCGCACACATCTGGCACAGGTGGGGTGGTAGTGCTTCCCTCCTGCCTGCACGGGCGAGCGGAGAGGAGCCCTGAGCACGGCAGGACAGGGTCACCTGTCCCCATCCCTGAGGGACCCTGCCAGCCCTTGCTGCTGCAGACAGGTGAACAAACTGTCTGGGGTGGCCTTGGGAACCTCCACATCCCATGGAGAAAAGCAGAGAGCGCTTCATCCCTGTTTGCAACCGGCTACGAGTCGGAGCAGGAACCTTCTGCTCTCCTTGAAACACCAGCACCAAGCAGAGCCAGGAGGTCCCAAAGCCCTGGGAATGGTGTCCCTACAAAGCTGACACTCTGGGAATAGCCAGCACCATCTCCAGGCTCTTTCCCCACAGATTTGAAGAGAAACAGCAAATTTGATGTCACAGCAGGGAAGCAGCAAAGGGAGAAGGACCCCAAAGACCTCCATGTCCATCACTGCCAGTTCCTCTCCCTAAAGGAACTTTCCTCCTTCTCTGCTCCAGTTTCAGTGCTCTGCCCCAGCTGAGAGGAAGCTTTGGCTCTTTTGACAGGGCTAACAGCCAAAATTGGGAGCTCCAAGTGTCTGTCAGCATTTCAGGTGTGGGCTGGGAGCCAGGAGCCAGCTCAGGGCAGGAGGAATCTGAGATGTTACAGCTCAACCCTAAAGAACTTTTTGCTCCTGTAATAAACTGAGAGAAGGAGAATAATTGAAGGTGGCAGAGGGAAGATGAGGCTTTTGCTTATGAAGAAGAGGGTTGTGATAGAGGGGCTGGAAACAGGAGGATCAATGGGAAATTTGCTGCAGGGGTAACAGAACCTGCCCGTGGGCTGCCCATAAAATCAGCCTGGAATTCAGTGTCTGTGGGGTGCAGATGGCAGTCAGTCCCTCCAGTTTATGCCAAAATGAGTGGAAGGTTTTAGGACAGGCAGGAGGATGAGTTTGGAGAGTTTGGACCATTCTTCCTTTCCTTACAGTGCAGGGAGGGACATCCTGTGCCAACCCAAATTGTTCCATGTGGAGGGAGGCTCCCCCAGGGATGTCCCAGCCCATTCCCAACTTTCACTTCATCACACACCTTCTCCAAAAGCCACCAGAACTCCTCCAAACCATGCACAAGCCTTGTTCCTTTTATTCTGGTTGTTATTCCAGCTGGTACAAGGCTGGTGGAGCTGGGAGGGAAGGGACCTGCTCCTTATCACTTGGGTCCCTTAAAGACTCATTAATCATCCAAGCCTGGCTGGGCAGCTTGGAGCAGTTGGGAATGCCTGGAGGCTGCCAGGAGAGCACCAGGAGGCTCCTGAATGCCTAAAATTATTTAAAGGCGCCCTTTCCATTTCACACTCGGACAGAGAGGACAATTCAAGCCCCTGGATTCACATTCAGCACTGGGAGCAGGCACGTCCCAGGGAGGGTGAACAGCTCAGGCTTCCATCCCTGGAGGTGTCCCAGGCCAGGCTGGATGGGGCTTGGGGCTGGACAGTGGAAGGTGAATTGGAATGAGATGATCTTTCAGGTCTTTTCCAACCCAACCCATTCCATGATTTCACAGCAGGAATCCCAGGTCCCCTCTGGCTCCTCTCCTGCCCCTCTGACACCAGGTAACAGCACCCTGCTCACACCCAGGGGTGCCTGGGGATGCTCTGTCCTGGCACACGGCTCCTGGGGGCTGGCACTGCCCAGGGCAGCAGGGATTTGATGTCAGGGCTTTGTCCTGCCCCGTTCAGATTTGCTGACCCGCTGAGCTCGTGCTGGGCAGCCGGCCTGGGGCAGCAGCTGCAGTGCTGAGCTCATGTTCTGGAGTCAGCAGAAAGCCTTCCCAGGCACACACAGCCTCCCCAGGCTGAGCAGAGGTGCTGGGAGGCTTCTGGAAATTTGTTCCAGCTTCAGGAGAGGTTCCTTGGGCAGGCTGGAGCTCCCAGGGAGGGTGAGCCCTTCTTGGGGGCTGTGAGTGAAACAGGCTGGAGACATCCTGGGACAACTCTCAGCAGGCTGGAGACTCACACAGCCACTGCCACCCCAGCCCACAGCACCTGCAGAGCCCTGGTACCTCTGTTTTTTCCTGTCACTGCAACCTGGGGCTGGCAGAGGTGTGGGAGCCCTTTCCTCCTGCTCAGCCGTGTGGAAAGGGAAATCTCAGGAGTGACAGAGCACAATTCCAGCACTGCTGCCTCTCTGTGCCATCACAGGGTCTAAGAATCACACCAGGCTTCCTTCTCTGTGCCTCCTGAGCCTTTAAATTACCCTTAGACTGGAAAGCATGAGAGGACACATCACTTCCAGAGGGGAAGGACCCTTCTGATCGACCCCTCTGTCCTTCCCCAAAACCATCCCTCCCCAGCTGTGCAGCCCCACCACTGCCCAAAACACATCCCCAAACCACCTGCATCCGCAGGGGGATCCCTGGGGAACCCCTGCATCCCTCCCTGGCCCTGCCACAGCAGCTCCTGTGCCCAGCAAAGCCTCCCCCAGCGAAGGGGACCCCCTGCTCCGGTGTCAGGCGGTGTTCCAGGGGGAGCAGAGCCCAGGGAAAGCTGCTGCAGCCCCTCGGGATGGGTTTCCAAGGCAACAGGCAGGCTGCCGGCACAGGGATGTGTGTGGGGACACCCAGAGCCGGGCACGGCAGCAGCTGCTTGGGGCTGAGGTCCCCACACCTCCAGACCGCCGTGACTCTGGCTGGTTCCCGAGCTGCAGTATCCAAGGTCCGGCGGTGTTTCCCCCTCTCCCACCCTCTCCAGAAGGCGGTCAGGCTGTGACAGAGCTGCTGCAGGACGAGCCACGGCCCCCAGCGATGGAAGGTGGCACCTCCCCAGGGCACGTCCCTGCCACGGACTCACCTCCAGCACACGGCCACTGATGTAGCGGTCACAGGTCTCGCACTTGATGCCGAACTGGGCGTGGTAGTCGGACTCACAGTACGGGATGCCATCCCTTGGGAGAGGGACAGAGGGGGTGAGCGGCAGGAGAGCCCCTCGCCACCCGCCCAGCCCCGGGGCCAGCCCGGGAGTGCCGCCACTCACTTGCTGATGTACTCGCCGGTCAGGATGATCCCGCACGTTTGGCACTTGAAGCAGCTGACGTGCCACTGCTTCTCCAGGGCCAGCAGCGACTGGCCCTGCTTGATCTCCTCCTTGCAGCCGGCGCAGTCTGGGGGGACAGGAGGGGACGTGGGGCAGGGCAGGGACAGCCACAGCTGCTGTGTCACCCGGCACTCCCCTCACACCCAGAGGAAAACCCTGCCCCGGAGGATGCATGATGCTGATACAAACACCCTGCTCCCGAGGCAGCCTCGTGGGGATCATTTCACGATGGGAATCTATGGATGCTAAATCTGAGCCACAGTGCCTGTACAGATTGCAGGCCGCATGGCTCCTCAGGCTGCCTGAGAAAGCAGCCGGGGAAAAATATGAGAAGGAATTAAAACGATTCTCAGGGATGCTAAACAGCCTTGCAGGTGTTGTTTTGCAGTCTTGTTTTCCCTTGCAGGAGAAGGCCAGGGGGTGATGAGTGCCCCTGACCAATGATGGTGATGTAGCACTTTGCTAACCAATAAGAGTTTCCTTTCTGTACCTTCCACGTATCTGTCTATAAGACAAGCCTGAAGGAATAAACCAGAGAATTCTCGTGTTGAAACTCCCTTGAGAGTTTGTGTCGTTCTTTCTAGCCGTTCCCAATCGGAACGACAGGAATCTGTCACCGCTGCTTGTCCCCAGCACAGGAGGAAAGCTGGGACCTCTGAGGTGGCAGCCACAGAGCTGCATCTCCCTTGGGGTGATGAGTCTGAGCCAGGCCAGCTGGACACCAGGAAAAATTCTGATCTCAAAGAACGATTTTGGCACTGGAATCTGCCCAGGGAGGTGATGGAGTCACCGTCCCTGGATGTGTTTAACGAAGCCCGGACATGGTTTAGTTGACGAGGAGGTGTCGGGTCACGGGTTGGACACGATGATCTCAAAGGTCTTTTCCAGGCTGGTTCATCCTGCGATGCTGTGATGGGCTGTGGGAGGGCCACGCTGGCCTGGCAGGTGCCCAAGGGTGGGAAGTGTCCGGCAGAGGAAGGGCTGTGCTGTCCGCTGCGCTATTTCCCCTTCCTCCCCTGCTCCCCCGGCTCCAGCGCGGCTGCGAGCAGGAAGCACCCAGAGCTCGGACCCCTGACCTTGACTCCTCCTTGTCCTCTCCTTCCCTGGGCAGCCCTGGAGAGGGGCTTCTTTAACCCCCTCCCTGCCGCGGGGGAAGCAGGGGCAGACAGCCCATCCCAAATCCCCGCCTAACGGGGGGAGGATTTCTGAGCCCTGCAAAAAAAGCAGGATCCGCTCCCTCCTTCAGGTCCTGCTGCTTTGGGGTTGTTTGCAGGGCTGGGGCTGCAGGGAGAGGCTCGGCATCCTCTTCCTAGGGATGCTTTCCCTATGGAACGCACCAGCAGCGCGCACAGCTCCCCTGTCACCCTGCTGGTGGCAGTGCCAGGGCCACCGGGGCGGTGAGGGACGCGTGCGGTGGGGCAGGCTCATTCTCATTCTCATTCTCATTCTCATTCGCATTCTGCCTGCAGCTGCCATGAATAAGGCATGGTGTCCTCAGGTAACCCCGCTCCAGGGCCGGAGGAGCGCCGGGAGGGGATGGGGAGGGAGAGGAAGGTGGGAGGGAGGCAGAGCTTGGCTCTGGACAGCTCCAGGAGCTCAGATGGGGGAATTCCTGTCCTTGGGCTCATTCCAACCCTGACACCATCGAGGGCTGAGGGGGGGCTCACAGGGGGTTCATCAGCACCAACCCTGCCGCCAGCAGTGTCCCCATGGTGACTGGGTGACAAGGACCATGGTGACACCCAGGACTCTGCGTCAGGCACTGACCTCCATGGCAGGAAGGGAAGGTCCTCCCAACCTGGGCTCAAAAGCAAGGCCAAACCCACCCAAAAGAGCTTGTCCATCACTCCAGTGGACTTTGAGGGGCTCCCAGGGCACGGGGATGAGCAGAAAACAACCTTTCAGTGCTGTGACAGTCCCAGGAGTATCCCCAGGGCAGCCACTGGAAACAAGGCAACTGACTGCGAGCAAAGCCAGCCCAGAACCTGCCCATGAGCTCAGACAGCGCCTGCCAGGGTGGTGGCACCTGGCCAGGTCACAGACAGGCCAGGGGAGTTTCCAACAGCAGCGCTGAGCTGCAGTCCTGGCTGGAGCCTCAGGACTGCCCCATCCCTCCTCCCAAACCTCCGTGGCTCTGCAGGGATGCTCAGTGGCCTCAAAGCTTGTCCTGCCCCCCTCTCCAGGGTCCCTCTCTTTGTACCCAGCACAGCACAGCATTCAAACTTACGGCTGGGCCCGTGGATCTTGATGGGCTTGGTGCTGAGGAGGGAGTGGGAGCAGTTTTGGCAGACGCAGTCCTTGCCGCTGAATGTCACCTTGTCTCCGATGGGGAACGGCTTCCTGCGGCCAAGGAGAGGTGGGGAGGGGTCAGCTGCTCATCCCCCTCCACACGGTGCCCTCCTCCTCTCCCGGGGCCAGCAGGGAGCTCCAGGAAAAGGCATCTCCAAGGGGGACACCGACCCTTGGTGACAGCTTCCACTCACCTGCAGGTGCTGCAGACGAAGCACTTGGGGTGGTAGGTCCTGCCCAGGGCAGAGATGACCTCGCCGGTGATGAAGTCCCCGCAGCTGTCACAGCGGGTCCCGTAGAGCTGCTGGTAGTCGTGGGTGCAGATATACTCCTGGTTCTTGAAGAAGAAGCCCGACTGGGCCAGGTCGCAGCCGCACACTGGGGAGAAGGACATGCGGCCATCGCGGCAGGTCCGGGATGCCTGAGCCGGCTCTGCCGCCTCTCCAGCTTCCTGCAGGAATCTCCGAGGGTTTCCCGTGCCAGCCGAGCTCCCGGGCCTCCCCCGGCACCACAAGATGTCAGTGTTGGGCTGTGGGACGGGGCGGCTCCCGCAGGGAATCCCATTGCCGGGAGGGAAGCCTGCACTGCAGCGCTCCTGCAGCACGCACCGACAGCTCGGGCATCCCCTCCCGGAGCTGCTGCACCTGCCCGGGGCTCGGCCCCTCCGCCTCGCACCCCGCTGGTGGCAGCAAGATGAGGACAGGGGTGTTAAAGAGCTGGGGGTGCCCTAGGGACAGCTGGGGAGAGATCTGATCCCTGCCCTGGGACACGGCTGCCTCTGGTGGGCTCCACGCCCCGGACACGGAGCCGTGCCGGGACGGGAACAGCTCCCGGGAACGNGGTGTCCAGCCCGGCCTCGCTCCCTTCCCTGCTGTGGGAAGTGTGGGTGGTGCACAGCCCATCACTGTAATCCAGGCAGACGTGGCCAGCCCTGGCCTCAGCATCATCTCCCTCCCTCCCTCCCTCCCTCCCACGGCTTCTCCAGCCAGAGGGACCTGGAGAGAGGCAGATCCTGGCCGTGGATGCTCCTGTGGGATCCCCTGCCCTGCGAGGTGACAGCGTGCAGAGGGGATACAGAGCGACCTGTTGCCACAGCCCACCGTGGTCTCTGCTTTGTCCTTCAGCCCCCTCTGTGCTGTCCCTGCACCCCGGCCAGCCCCAGTGACAGGGGACAGCTGCACCCGCTGCTGCAGGGCCCTTGGGGGCAGAGATGCAGCTCCTGTCCTGTGAGCATCCCTTGGCCGAGCTGGGGGTACCCAGCAGGGGCAATTTGTGTATCCCAAATATCCTGTCAGCAACCAGGGCCGGGCCAGCAGCTCGGGGACAGCATCAGGAAGCAAATCCAAGATCAAATGAGGCTGCTGTGTGCCCTGTGCTGTGGGAACAGCGCATCCCATGGCTTCACTCCTGTGCCAGCTCCTGGGGACACATCAGGGACAGGCAGTGGGGCTGGAGCCAGCCAGAGGTGGCAGGAGGTGAGAGCTGCGAGGGAAGGTGAGACAGGAGGATTTCCTCTCATTATTTATTCCCTTTCACTTGGAAATCGGGCAGTGAGCGCTGCCAGGCTCTCCCTGCTGGCTCCCCGGCCCTTTGAAGCTGTCTGAGCTCTTTGTCTGCACGCTCGGCTCCTGCTGGATCCTCCACGGCCGAGCTGGGAAAGGGCAGGAGGCTCAGCACGGGGCCCTGCAGGTGCAGCTCAGCCCCGAGGGCATCCCGGGACAGGTCCCCCTTCCCAAAATCCTGGGGCTGTCCACCCCATAGGGGACAGGGCTGCAGCAGGGTGGGGACAGCCCGGGAAGTGTCACCTCCAGCCAAAACCTCTGTTCCCTGGCAAGGAGCAAAGTGTGACCAGGGGCTGGGGATTATGCTTAGCACCGGGAGCTTGGAAGACCAGAGGCCTTTAAAAAGCCCTGGAATGGGGAATTTTACAGCCTGCAGAAGCTGGTTGAGAGCAGCTGCTCCAATAAAGAAGCTGAGGAGCCCTTCAGCAGCAGCAGCTCTGCACCATGAGCTTTACAGCCCTGCAGCCCTCCTCTGGTGCTCCAGGAACATCCAAACAACCTCTCTGCTCCACTCCTGCCAGCCCTGGGGGCCACCAAGTCCCAGCTGCATCCCATGGGCAGGTGGCAGGGATGTGTCACCCAGCCCCAGCTTCAGCAGGAGCTGCTCTGGGCATGTCCCCACCTCTCTGCTCTCAGCCAGGCTGGCAGTGCCTCGTCCCCCTTCTCCTCCCCCTGCTTCGGGAGCAGCTGGAGGACACAGTGACCCCCCCAGACACAGATGGGCACGTTTGGGACCTGCAGGCTGCTCCAGGGTAGTGACACTGGACACCCCTTCACTGGCTCTGGCATCACTCAGAGCCCCACCACATCCCCCTGCAGCTGCCACCCCAGCAGTGTGACCACAGCTCACAGGGCCAGCTAGGTTTGTCCCCAGGGCTGTGGGACAGCCAACCAGCAGCTTTTTGGGGATCCTTATCCTACCTTGGCAGGTGAAGCAGCGGATGTGGAAGTGGTTGCTCTGCACACGCACGACCTCGCCCTTGCAGGTGTCCCCGCAGCGATAGCACTGGATGGCAGAGGAGCTGCTCCCAGGGGTGTAGGGGTTTTGCTGATAGGGAACTGCTGGCAGAAAGGAGGGAGAGCAAAAGGAGAGAGGGGAAGGGTCTGTTAGGATTTGGTGTCACTGCACCGAGCTCAGTCTGGTGGCTGTGGTGGCCATGGGACATCAGGCCAGCACTAAGGGAAAGGAACAGCACTGAGGCTCAGAGATGGGATCCCAGCCCTCTCTCAATCTGGGATTTCCCTGCCCCACAAAAGAGGCTCATGGGTCTGCAGTCCCAAACTCTGCACAGGTCAGCCTGTCCCTGCATGGACAAGCAGGTCACAGCATCATCCCAGAGCTGCCCAGATGCTCTCCAGTCCCAAACACGGGACCCTGCAAGGAGCAGTGCTGTGCTCAGCCCTGGGGGCTGCTCACCCTCTCCCACACAGCCCAGCGAGCTCTGGCTTGGCAGCAGCACGGGAAGGAACTGCTGTTTTTTTGGAGCTTCCACTTGTTTGCTTAGGAGCTGGAGGAAGAAGTCATTTGTCAAGGAGCTTTCAAACATCACAGCAATGGAGCACTTGGCCCTGCTGGGACTGTCACCTCCTCAGCAAGGAGCGGCAGCCCAGTCCCACGGCTCCTTCCGGAGCGTGGAGCCTCTGGAAGGAGCTGGGGGCTGCAGGGGAGGGCAAAAAGAGCTGGATTTCTCCTGCTGGGGTTCACCTCCACTCCTCACCCCCTCTGGGAGCATCACCCAGGGTAAAGCCCTCCTGCTCCCTGCGAATCCCTCTGCTGTCTCAAGGCAATTCCCAAACACGAGGAGAGAACAGAGCAGCTCCTGCTTTCCCTGCCCCACCTGGGAGTGCCTGGGCTGTGCAGGAGCTCCAGCCAGGCTGACACCACGCCACCACTGCAGGATTTATTTGCTGTAAGATTTCTGAAAGGGAGTCACAATCTGGGCAAGTCGAGCAGCAAAAAGGAGGATTTCAGTGGGCCAGAGCTTTTCTGACCCAGTGCTGAACTGCATTCCCAGGAACAAGAGAAGCAGCTGATTGAAAGGCAGCCTGTGAAGTCCCTCCAGAGCAGGGAAGAAGGGGCACAGGACAGAGGAGATCACTCATCAGAGGCTCCTCGCTCACCGAGGGGCAGATCAAGTGACAGGGAACAGAAACAGCCCATTATCAGCTTCAAAAGCCAAGCAGGAGAAGTCAAAATGACATTGAGACTGTGTCACAGTAAAATCCCATTCCCTGTGCCAAGTGCCCAGAGACACAGCGCTGCTTCCCTCCGGGAAATGGGCTGAACCTCCTGGAGCCGCTGGGAATGGGCTGCGAGGGAAGCTCTGAGTGCAGAGCTCACACTCCAGCCTTGACTTCCAAGAACTTCCAAGAGCTGCTGGGACTTCCCCTCCCCACAAGCCAAGAGCTCTCAGAGGTACCTGAGGCACTAAGGGATGCCAAGTGCCAGCAGAGGAGTGACAAAAGGGGAGTCAGGCCTGGAGCTAGCCCAGCAGAGACTAATTAGTCTCGACCTAAATTCCTCTGAGGTCCCAAATAAAACGAAGGGAACCCCCACCCAAGGGACACCAGCCCTGGGAGCAGGAGTCCAGCATCTCCTGTGATGGTTACTGGTGGTGATGGGTGCCCAGGAGCTCTGCAGCTGCCTGAGGGGACCAAGAGGATTTCCTAAGGCTGGAATACATCAGGGATCTTCTCTGCAGGGGTCTCCAGCAGAGCAAGAGTTACAGAGCTGAAACTTCCTCCCACGCACCCACTGCTCACACCCTGGCCCAGAATGAAGCCAAGCCCTGGGACACAGCCATGGAAATCCACAGAGCTGGGAGAGGAAAGCAGGACAGAGGCAAGGGGGAAAGCCAGGGATTCACCCACACTTAAACATTCAAAATAAAGAAAGGGGGAGGACAAAAATAATAATAATCTATGTCGGAACGCGCAGGCATCACTTAGTGCAGGCTCCTGGTCTCCAGGGAAAACTTCCTGGTGTCCATAGCAACACATCACCAAGCCCTTGCCTTGGTCTGATGGGAGGAAGGCAGAGGAAAAAGAGCTGAGGATGGGAAAGACGCTTTTAGCTGTGCTCCAGCACAGGCAGTGTGGATCTAAGGCAGTCACTGCTGGCTCAGGGCAGCCTCACCCTCCCTCTGTGTTCAGCGCTACCCAAAGCTCCCTGATTTGTGCTTAACCTCCAGGCTGGGCTGGAATTTTGGCCGGGAACATTGCAGCATTGTGTGTCTGTGTTCCAGGCAGCAGCTGCCCGCCTGGTGGCCCCGTGCAGGAAGTATTACACATCCCACAGCCCCGAGCACAGGGCCAGCTGAGCGGGGCAAAGCTCATTACACCCAAATAATCCACTAATAATGTAAGTAGCATTAGTGGCCTCGCAGGCTGGGCTGCAGCAGGCGTGGAGAGGGGGTGGGAGCTGCCCAAGGAATGCCATAATCTGCCCCCAGCTTGCTCCTGTTGTGCTCAGAGCTGGTTTGGGCCAACAATTCATGCGTTTGTGCTCCATTCTCAGTGCAAAACGCGCCCAGGACAGGCTCCTGTGGGGCTGTGCCCGTGTCCTGGTGGGTCCCTGATGGGCTGTGGGTGCAGGCAGGCAGGGAACTGCCATGGGGCTGCGTGGGCACTCGACAGATTTCCCACTGATCCGGATTAAGGTGGCACCTCCGGTCAGGGATTGCTGCCCTGGGGTCAGGCAGCGGTGGCTGTGCATAGCCAGAGAGTGACCTGGCCAGGGGGACAGCCCCCAAACACCCCCAAACAGCCCCCAGGGCTGTGCAGAGCAGCTCTGTCCCCCAGGAGGCTGCAAGGACCCTGCCCAAGGGCTGCTCCAAGCCCACAATCCGCAATTCCCCCTGTGCATCCCTGGGCAATCCCCCTCCTTCAGTTCGGGAGGGTCAGCGACCTTGTTTGTTTTCCTGCACGGCCCTTCACCAGACAGCAGCAGGGTGGGGAAATATGAACCTCTGCAACACTTTGAGCACTTCAGCACTGGAAGGATAACAGGGGATGATTTCCATCTGCCTTGGAGGGTTTGCTGTTCACCACCAGCACAAATAACAGGGCACAAACCCCACGGGGGCACAGAACAAGCTCCAGCAGCAGCTTGGCTTCCAGGCAGCCCCAGACCCCACAGCCCCACATACCCGAGCAACAGCAAACCAGGAACAGCTTTCCATAAGCACCCAGAGGCATTTTTAAAGATCCATCCTTCCTTCCTTACTGGGACCAGAGCAGGTGATGCTCTTTTCCCACCCATTTCCCCCTCCCAGCCCATTGGCCCTCCAGGAAGGTCTGTCAGGGAGAAGCTGCTCCAGGTGGGGTTTGGATCATTATCCACGTTTGTGACACAGCATTTCCACAGGAAGATGGACATGCCTGGCTTAATTAACTGCCAGTAATTAATATTTACACAATGCTGGGAGAGCCACAGGTGAAGGGGACTGTGGAAAAGTGAAGCCTTCACCCTGAAATGAACAAGGAGAGGCAGTGCCAGCGTGGGAAATTGAGTTTGGGGAGTGCCAGGGGTGATGCAGGGACTGAGAGCTGGCACCTACAGCAAAGGGGTGCCAGCATGGGATCCAGCCCCTGGAATGTGTAGGGAGATGTGGGTGCCACCATGGGATGGATCCAGCCCCTGGAATGCTGGATGTCAGGTGGATGCTGGGGGAGCAATGCAGATGATGCTGGGAGGAATCTTCACACCTCCATGGGGCTGAACTCCCTTCCCACCGCTTCCCACCGCTTCCCACCGCTTCCCACCGCTTCCCACCACCTCCCACCTCTGCCTGGCAGCCAGCAGTTCCCCACCCCTTCCCCTGCAGGGTCCCTGAGGCTGGAAATCCTCAGAACCCTGGCTGGGGGGGGGATGCAGCTGCAGTGGGGAGGGAGGAGAACTGGGCATTCCCGGTGGGCATTCCTGGTGGGCATTCCCGGTGGCATTCCTGGTGGGCACGGCTGGCAGAGCCCAGGAAGGGCCAATTCCCAGCTCAGGGGCTCGGGAAGAGGAAGCCCAGCCTTGAGGCTGAAGGCTGAGGCAGTGACTGGCCAGGAAGGAATTCTGCTGGAAGCACTGCAGGCTGAGGGAGAGGCTGGGATGGGACAGGGCTGGGCTGGGGGCACAGAGCGAGGTGAAGGAAACCTCTGCTGGGATATGGGGACAAGGAGGGGGCTCTTCAGGAGCCTGCACCCCAAAACCCACTGCAGCAGGGATCCAGGGTGACCTGGCTGGCTCCAAGGGGTGGTGAGGGTGAGGGGGAGGATTTCCCCTCCAGGCTGTGTCCCAGGGGTGGCCGGGGAGGAAGGGTGGGAACTCCAGGGCCACGGGATATGGGTTTCTCATCAGCAGCGGGGCCAAAGGCTCCTGCCTGCTGTCCTGCAGCAGCCAGGGCTTGGCTGCAGCCATGAAAACGCCTTGGGAAGGAAGGGGAGGATGGGCTGGGAGCCAGATGATGCTGGTCCTTCAGCAGGCACAGGAGAGCCTCAGCCTGTGGGGCTGCCTTGACCCCGGCATGGGGAATGTGCCTGATCCAGACACGGAGTCAGAACTAACGAGGCTGGAAAAGATCTGGGAACCCATTGAGCCCACCCCAGGTCCCTGCTGAGGAGGGGACAGTGGGGGTGCCAGCGGTGAGGTGGGGATCCAGCTAAAGGATCAGCCAAATCACCCCCAACATAAAGGGCAGGACCAGCAGTTGAGTTGCTCAGCTCTGCTGGTGAATCTGGCCCTGCATGGCCATCTCAGTGCTCAGGCCACTGCTTCCCACGGAGCTCCTGCAGATAAAATCCATTTCCATCAAGGAGAAAATGCCAGATTTACCTTTGGACAAAAGATTTTCTCTCCTGATCCTTCCCCTCAGTAAAATCCAGAAGCATCACGTGGTTCCTTATTTAATATTTACATTTTTAACCTGGGGCAGGCTGAGGGCTCCTGAAGGGCTGGGAACAGGTACCAGGGATCTGCTGTGGGATGTCTGCACTGAATCCATGAGGGCTGGGCTGGGAACAGGTACCAGGGATCTGCTGTGGGATGTCTGCACTGAATCCATGAGGGCTGGGTT